GATTCCGGCCCTGGTCCTAGCTGTGTACCTGGCCACAAAGCGGACAACAGCACATGTCCAAACGTCTGGCCAAAAACGAGTAAAGGTCCAAACTGAATTAGAGGCTCAGCCTCTGGGCCTGATTCCGGCCCTGGTCCTAGCTGTGTACCTGGCCACAAAGCGGACAACAGCACATTAGTAAAAACACATCAGTAAATAAATAAATAAGAAATCAACTTAAAGTTGAAGTCTTTCTGATGCAGGCCTAGGTAAAATGGCCGTAGGGCCTCCAGGTTGCGGTGACGCGACCTGGGGGCCCTTATCCAACCTCGGGTCCCGTGAGGGGCCCGTGTGGAGGCTCTCAGCATGTAACAGAGTGGCAGACAGATTTTTAGCGGGCCATTTTGAGAGAATCCACCTAGCTATAGGTCTGCCTCCATGTTGCCAAGGCTCAATCTATTGGTGAGGAGCGAGCTATACTTGCTGACAACTAGGGTCGGTGTCCCACAGAGATTTGTGAATAAAATGAACTAAAAATTCTAAAAATTTCAACATTAAAGTTTCAAGACATCCTGGACACGAAGTGCAGACACTTTGCGTCTGCTCTTCGAGCCTCTATGAAATGTGCTTTTATGGCATGCTTTGTTTCCTCTACTGTTGCCAGTTGAAGGTAACCCATATGCCGCTAGTGTGAAGTTCGGTCGCACACTTTGACATTAATTTCATAGTTATCATCCAATGATGCGACACCAGTCCTCTTCAGCCTAAGAACTGACTGCCAGAGAAACAACCTCCAACGTTCAAACCTCAAACGAAGAACAGATTTCATTCTTGGACTAGCACACTCAGCCCATGACTGCTCTAGGAGCGAAAATAGGAAATGCAGAAGAACAGAGAGTAGGAGGAGGCTGCGTTGAGTCGGGAATCTAGGGATCGATATACTCCTAGCTATTTTCTGACTTGTATCAAAGCCAAACCATGCTAACTTCACTGTTCCCGAAGAGGGGCCAAATGGCTCTCGGAAGCAATGAGCTGATGGTCTAAACGATGGTAGTTCTGTTCAGACCTTGTCCAGTCATTGAACCGATCTGAACAGAACTGGTCCTCCCGTCCACCCACGCCCTTAATACTCCCAGTGGTGAACCTCCCAGCCACTCGGATGGGATAAGTTATCTCCAGGCACGAAGTTGCATACAAGACATGCTCGGCATGAACTAAAGCGAGAGGTGATCGACACGAAGTACAGCAAGACATGCTCGATGCAACGTGCAGCAAGACATGATTCACACAACACGATCTGCAGCAAGATATGCTGGATACAAAAAAGTGGAGCGATTCCAGGATATGCAGGAGGCAAAGTGCAGCGAGACATGCTGGACACGAAATGCAGCAATCAGGACATGGTGGACAAGAGGAGCAGCAAGCCAGGCCGGACAGATTGTTGCACAGAAGCACCAGGGAGTTCTCGAGTCTCCTTTTCATGTTGACTTTGATTTATTTGTCCTTGCGCATATTCTTTAATTCTACGTTTAGCCGCTGAGTGAATGAGCACATTTTGAGTGCGACTTCCAGCAAGACTGACCCTCTACAAGGTCTCTAGCTGAGGAAAATTTGGCCCTCTTTATTGATGTCAGTAGGGTTGATAAGCTTGGTGTTTGTTTTTGTCTTGTGATTATGCTGTAATTCTACTTCTTAACATCTGAGAGGATGAAGAAGTATTGGTTTCTTAACATCTGAGAGGAGAGTTTGGCAATACTGACCCTCCAGGATCTCTGACTGAGAGTAGATTATGGCCCTCCTGGGAATTTTTTCCACCCTTGATAACTCTGCCAGCAGGGTTAATAAGCACTGAGTGGATTTGATCCTTTCTTTATTATTTTTTAATCTGGAATCTGGATGATAATTTGGGGAAAAGAAAAGAGAATTTGAGAAGTCGATTGGTTATTTGATTTGATCAAAATTACCTCCATGAGCTTTTGAAGATAATGACCCTGAAGGTTAGCCACCCTTGTCACAAGGTCACGGCTCTCGTCAATCGCAGCTCGCAGTCGTTTGCTGTCCGAATGGATAGGCCTCATTGCGGTTCTGGTGAGCTCATCATCAATCATAAGCCAAGCTTCTCTCTCCTTCATTCTCATGTAATACTCGATCTTTTTTTCAGAAAACCAACCGAAATTTTTCATTAACAGCGAATGAAATAATTCAAATCCAATGAACGAAGTAAAGGCATGTTTAAGATGTGCTCATCACACCCACTCCATGTGGCTGAATGCTAGACAGTCCTAGTGCACAGTGCACAGACATAAATCGATAAACAGTTCAATTAGAAAACAAAAAAGAAATAGCACAACTGACCCTGCGCAGTTCCAAGTGTTGCGACTTTTTGCTGGGCCCGCGGCAGGTGTCACGAGAGGACCGGGTTATGCTTTAGGAGTATTATTATATTATAGAGACAGAGATATAGATAGACAAGCAATGGCAGTCACACAAACACATTCCTTTCAGAGATATTAACACAGGACAGCCTGTCAAACAAAAGTACAGTTCATTCAGACGAGCATGAAGTAAATGCAATCCCTCCTTCATGACATCCTTTACATTTGGAACGATACAGAGAAGGTTAGCATGGAGGCTGCACAAGCATGACATGCATAAATCGATAAACGGTCCAATTAGAAAACAAAAACTAAACACTTTTCATACTACCAGAAGAACTGAGCAAAGGAATTGCGCTCGCGCCTCGGTTAGCGCAGCTCAGCGCTAGTTTGTGCGTTCGCACCAGTGCCCGGTTCACGCCTGTGCTGGTGCCCGCGCTCGCCTCAACTTTCGACTTTCGAAAACGACGCTCACCGTCGTGCCCCCGTCGAAGAAGCCGCCTAGACAGAAAAGCCATAGCCCTGTGCTGCAAGGGAGTTCCTTCACGTGTGAACGCTAGGCGCGCGCCCCTGCGCGCTTGCGGCCGCACCCAATCACATACTCCGAACCCGACAAGGACTGCTCGAAACAACAACCACATCTTTTCGCTCGCAAGTGGAGGAAACAAAGTCGCACTAGCTGGAATTCGGCCCAGATTCATTGCCAAGAGCTCCAGCACGAGCAGACGGCTCTATTCGGCTCTATTCAGCCAACACTCGAGTGAGGGCCTAGTTGCACTACTCTCCATAGGCCAAGTTTGGCGAGTAGGCGCCTGGTTGCACTTACTCGCCAAACTTGACGAATGCAAATGTGTCAGACGGCTCGCCACACCGTCGACACAAGTTGTGGAGAGTGAATTCGGTTTCACGACCGTCGACACAAGTTGTGGAGAGTGAATTCGGTTTCCCCGCCTGTGCACGGCGGCTTGTGGAGAGTGGTCCTCGGACCTCTCCACAAAACAGCGTTCTGGAGAGTGCAGGGCTTCACGAGTCGACATCAGGAAGACAAAAAAAATTAACTTCTCTGTAGAAGAAATATAATGGCGAGTAAGTGCAACCAGATTCGAGTTTGACGCGATTCTCAGTTTTTTCACTCTCCACGCATCCGCCACGAAATGTGATGGATGGCGAGTAGTGCAACTAGGCCCTGAAACAACACTCCACCTTGGCGTTTAGTTGTGAATAGTCGATCCAGAGTTTCGTTCCGAAGCATTGGCCGACAAGGAAGAGTCGAAATACACTACCAGGACATCATGAAGAGCACCTCCCACGAGCTTGGCCCAAAGGAGGAAATACATGGAGACGGTTCGTGACAAAATTGAGTGAGACAACGCCAATCAACATTCTACCGCCACCCTTCCCCTCTCATGCCTAAACTAACAGACGATCCAACAACACCCACACCATCCCCCCGCCTTCCACTATAGACGATCCATTATCCAGTTCTCCCCCCCC